GTATGTATGTATGCATGCGTGTGTGTCCGCATTTATATCCATGTACAGGAGAAAACACGATGCGATGGTATTCCTAGTTCCTTGAACCAACCCGAAAAAAACCCACCCGACGAAAATCCCAACGAGAGTCGGCCTCGGGGTGTGTGGTCTAGGGTGTCGGGGTTCAGCGGCTTGGGAGTTTAGGGTCGAAGGAAACCCTACACTCCAAACTGTGAAGTGAAGCGGGCTAACAACCCTAAACCCTAGATTTTAGGGTTTAGGGAGTTTAGGGCTTCCGGGAGCCCGAAGCCCTAAAACCTCAAACCCCAGGGTTTAGGGAGTTTAGGGTTTCTGGGAGCCCTAAAACCCTAAAGCCCTATAAACCCTAAACCCTAAAACCCTGAAACCTAAACCCTTAAACCCTAAAACCCCAAAAAGCCCTAGAGCCACCAGACTCTTCTGCGCCAACTCAGCCAAGCCCACGCGATCCAGGGCGGCTCGAACCTCTCCCTCGGAGGGTCGTTCAGATGGATTTAGGGTTTGAGGTTTCTTTCAAAAAAAGTTTAGGGTTTACGGTTTCAAGTTTCTTTAAAGAGAGTTTAGGCTTAGGGTTTGAGGTTTAGGGTTTAGGGTTTAGGGGGGTTTAGGGTTTTCTTTCAGAAAGGGTTGTTTAGGCCTAGGGTTTAAGGGTTCCTTAACGAGCGCTTCCGGGCTGGAAATCGGAGAGCTCTCTTTGTGCAGATCCCCTGTGCCTTGAAAGCCCTAGAAGCCTAAACCCCCAAACCCTGAACCCTAAACTGCCCTAAACCCTGAACCCCAAACCCTAAACCCTAAACCCCTTGCAAACCCTAAACCCTGAACTCTAAACCCCGAGCTCTAAACCCTAAACCCCTAAACCCAGAACCCCGAACCCTGCACCCCAGGCCTAAAGCAAACACGCCGGCAGACTCCCAGGCCCGAGCCGCTTCTAACAAACCTTCTGAAGGCCCCCCTAGGCCCTCTGAGACCATCATGCACTTGGGTGGTTTTTTTTAAGGGGTCCCTTATGGGGATCTGTAGGCGGTTCTAGAGGGTTTCAATACAAGGGTACTATGAGGGTAGCTCTTTCAATTAGGTTTTTAGACGGTATTTTTTTAAATAAGGGTGTGCCGTACTCTAAAAAGGGGAACCCGAAGTTAGAGAACTACCCACATACAGCCCCTTCTCAAACGTTGAAAAACCCGATAGTAAGAGCCCTGGAGGGCTTTAGCGTCGTGTAAAGAAAGCCCGCAACCATATTACCCTAAACCCTATAACCCTAAAACCCTAAACCTGAACCCTAAAACCGAAAACCCTAACCCCTATCCCAAAAGGTAAGGTCCGAAGCGCCCTAAGGCCGTAAGCCAGATCCCAAAGAGAGGCTAGGGCCTGGCCTCGGTGTAGGTGTCGGGCGCATCCGGGAAGGCCACAGCTTCATGTAGGGACATGGGCATGGGCCTCAGTTAGGGGTTTAGGGTTTAGGGTTTAGGGACATGGGCATGGGCCTCATTGGTCTAACCTCTTAATTAAGGAAAAAACCTTAAATTCTAGGGGCCTTAATATTGTGATTCAAGGTATATTCCTTAATTAAAGGCCTTGGCTTTGGGTTTGGGGCCTGGGTGATTAGGGTCTAGCGTACTTGGTTCTGGGCTTGGGGCCCACAGCTCGAGAGGGGCTTGGCGTCATAAGGACTCAAGCCAATCACCTACATCACCGGCAGCATCTCGAAATCGCATGACATCAGAGCCATTAGGAAGATCGCCGTAGGCCTCCTCCTCCTCTTCCTCCATTACTATATTATCAACATCTCTCAGTATCATAATCATCACCTTCGTCGTCATCATGATCAGCAGCAGCAGCGGTAGCATCTCACCGCCAACAGCACAAACATCCTGACCCCCCAACCTGAATCTAGAGCACCTCTACTATGCTTCGTGTCGAAGGCTTTAGGGTTTAGGGTCTGAGGCCGCGCAAAGTACCATCCATACCATGCCATGCACATGCAACCAAGCAACAAACGCGGCTTCTGGGGGATCAGAACCACACCCTTCTTGCTCGCCACAGCAGTGCCCTCACGATTGTCGATGTATGGCCTTCGCTGCAACTACCGCAACGATTGAACTAAAAAACCCTAAACCCTAACAGAACCCCGAGACCGTAAACCCTAAGCCCTAAGCTCTAAACCCTAACATAAACCCTAAACCCTAAACCCTATGCTGTAAACCCAAAGCCCTACACCCTACAAACGAACGACCCCGAACCGAGAAGCCTCTGAGCCTTGCAGGTCTCTAAGGTCTGCAAGCCCGGAACCTTATCGGCCCTGTAGAAGAATCTAGGGTTATAGGGTTTAATGTTTAGGGGGTTTCAGGGTTGTAGGGTTTAGGGCTCTAGGGCTTTAGGGTTATAGGGTTTAGGGCTTTAGGGCGTTTTAGGGTTCTAGGTTTAGGGTTTTAGGGCGTTTTAGGGTTCTAGGGTTTAGGGTTTTAGGGTTTCAGGGTTTAGGGCTTTAGGGTTATAGGGTTTAGGGTTTTAGGTTTTAGGGTTTTAGGGCTTTAGGGTTCAGGGTTTTAGGGTTTTAGGGTCTCGGGCTTTCTTTACCCGACTCTAAGGCCCTCAATCCTAAGCCCATGGAATCGTCGCGAACAGAACTTGGAGCCAGCTACTATGTTATGGGCTTATAAGCCCGAAACCCCAAAAGAACATCGGGCGTAGAAGCACGGACGATGGGCTTCGGGGGTGGATTTCCGTTGAAGGGTTGGGGGATCTGAGGGTTTCGATGAGTTGTGGAAGGGATGCGTACTTTTAATTTATGGCCCGGTTTTTATGGCCCAAAGATGGGTTTCGTATGAAGGGTTCTGCGATAACAGCGCTTTTCAACGGTTCTTTGGGGTCTTGGGATCTTGCGTCCCAGTGGCCACATGCCGGCCAAAGCCTTCAGCAGAGTAGACTTACCGGCACCCTCCTCCCCGCAAAGCAGCACCGTGTCACCTTGCAGGTGGGTCGGTGGAGGGTTTAAGGCTTGCACTTTGCGGGATAGGTCCATTGCTTCCAACTCTTGCCAGGACCCTAAGGTTTAGGGCTTAGGGTCCGTATGCGTTTATGGCTTCACCCTAAGCCCTAAACTTCAGCCAACTGGGTCCCAGCAAGACTCCGAAATACCCGTAACAATGCGCTACACCCTAAAAAAAGATCGAAAAAAAAACCCAACACGAACCCCGCCACAACCTAAACCCTACACGGCCTAAAACCCCGAACATCCCAAAGCCTCACAGCCCTAAACCCTCCAAACCTACACCCTGAAAAGGCACCAAAGCCCTAAACCCTACCCCCCCCTTTCCGTTCTCTCGAACAGCACACATCCTACAAACCTTTCTGCTCGGTGTACCCCGTAACCGCAACCTTTGACAGGAACCCTGACAGGAAACCTTCCAACACCCTTTCTATAGGAAGCCTCATAAGCTCTGCGCCTGGAGCCACCTCGATGTCGACCTTCCCAAAGAGAGGCTTTCCTTAGTTGCTGAGTTCATAAGCGGCCTAGGGTTTTACGTCTTGGGGCTTCAGGGTTCGTAAGGCCAAACTGAGTGTAAACTTTCAGCTCCAAACAGTGGATAAGATTAACTTTCAGTTCTATAGGGCGTACTTTAATCTAAAAACATATGAAGTTTACTCATTCAGCTACTCCATGATTCTATTGGGGATGATAGTATTCCAAGTGTAAGCCCTATAAGCGCTAAACCTTAGACCCTAAAACCCTTGACCCAAACCCTAAACCCCAAGGCCCTAAAGCCTAGACCCTAAACTCCAGACCCTAGATCCTGACCCCTGACCCTGAAACCCTAAACCCTAAACACCAAGGCCCTAACCCCAAACTCAAGGCCCAAAACCCTAAACCCTGAAAACCCTAAACCCAAGGCCTTACACTCTTTCAGCGGCGGAGTTTCCAGAGGGCAGCTGGACCCCGTCGACTCGCAGTTCCAGCGGTGCCGGCAGCTCGGACTCGGAGTCTGAACTCACCTCCGAGCTTCAAGGATTAAGGGTTTAGGGGGTTTTAGGGTTATAGGGTCTAGGATTTTAGGGTTTTAGGGTTATAGGGCTTTAGGGCTTTAAGGTTTTATGGTTTTGGGGTTTTGGGGATATCGGGTTTTAGGGTTCGGGTTTAGGGCCAGTTTCGAGCTTCAGGGTTTTAGGGTTTCGGGCTTAAGGCAGTTGGAGGGCTTAGGGGTTTAGGGTTTTATGGCTTAGGGTTTTAGGGGCTTCGGATTCACTTAGATTCTTTAAGGCCTTATAGGGCTTCAAGCTTTTCGGGGTTGGGTTTGGGTGACTTCAAGGTTGCCAAGAGAGCTATCAGTGCATCCCTTTGCTTTTCGGGTTGAGTGGTTTAGGGGGCAGAGTGTTTGTAGCGCTTATGGGAAGTTCTCTATATTCGGGCCCTGTTCCTAGGTCACCAACGGAGTGCGGCGCCCTGATTCAAGGGACTCTAATCTAGAGAACTACCTTCGTAGGTTTGAGACGTTTAGGGGTTTGGGCCTTAGCAACCAGCAGGGAAGGTCTCCATCTCAAGGTTTCTCTCGGCTGTTGCATCCTGCCTGGCTTAGGGTTTAGTTTAGTTTAGGGTTTATATAGGATACCCCGAGCTGCTCTCCTCCTCTCCAGTCTCTCCCTCTCAGCCCTCCTCCTCTTTCTGGATATTGTGACATCTTTCCGTTTCTGTATGTCCGTCCCTCTGCACATTGGGTTTTGCAAAACTCCAAGCAGGACACAGAATATGTTGCACCACATACAACTCAATTCACTTCGTTGCACCCGTTGGACGATTCTAAGCACCCGCGCATCAAAACCCAAACCCCATCACGGTTGCGGGTTTACCGCTCGCTGAGGGCATATCAGAAACAAAAACATGAAACCATGAAGTCTCCCCATTTACATGCCTCTATCAAGTTACTTAGGACCCTGTGGATTGGCCCTACAAGCCTCTCGATCAGCCGTAAAACCCCATGCACTCCCCTGTTTGCACTTCCAAACCCCCTGAACCCTAAACCCTAAACCAAGACTC